CACACACCCACACCCACACCCACACCCACACCCACACCCACACCCACACCCACACCCACACCCACACCCACACCCACACCCACACCCACACCCACACCCACACCCACACCCACACCCACACCCACACGCACACGCACACGCACACGCACACGCACACGCACACGCACACGCACACGCACACGCACACACACACACATGCACACACTCACTCCCACTCCCAGTGCTTTGTTCTATTGTGTGAAGGGAATAAGAAAATCATGTAATGAAACGAATGCTCCGCGTGTGATTGAATTGAATGAATTAAACCATGAGATTTCTTCACTGTCTATTTAATTCAACATCACGCACGATCGGGCAGAAGTGAACCAAAAGAAATTAAATATATAAAAAAGACCGCTATCATCTTTGTTCACCAGGCAAGGGTTAACATTACAAACCTAGGCTAATGTTGTGGTTCTTTCTAGGGTCTCTTGATTGGGTGCTTTTGAAGGAGAAGTTTTATGGATGAGTTTAATCATGTCGCTCTGGCTCTCTCCCTCTTTGATTGACTGAGGCTCAGGAGTCATCTTGGCCCGGTATATTGCTCGCCAAGGTCTTGCGGGCCTGTTCCAAGCAATTCTTTGAAGCTTCAAGATTGGGTGCTTGGGTCCAGTGGTGCCAAAGATGCAAAAAGTCTTTCATGGCTAGGTTTTAGACGGGCTTTCCGTTTCTTCACAGTGTTCTGTGTGTCAATAGGCCATGGGTCGTACATTACTGCGACCTCTTGGCCTCGTGCCTCTTACTTAGTCTACCAGCGGTAGCAGACTCTCGTTAAGAAGGGATGGGCGGTTCATACCCGGCGATTGACCGAGGATCACGAGAAATCTTTCTGGCCCGAAGTGATCGCAGCATCATGCACACGCAGCTAGATTGAAGCATGTGTTCAGTAAAGCACGTTGCAGCACACTTCTAATCCTGCTCACATGCATTGTCCACATGAGTTGACATGAATCCATGTCGGCAGTGCCCTTGGCAAAAACTCTCCAGGGCTTCTGGCATCTTCGCGTCAGCCGCTGCGAGTGTCAGTGCCTGATGCCTCCTTTGTGCTTCCGTGCGTTAACATGTCTGCAGAGTATGCATCTTCAGTCGGTGCATCCGGCGGCACATCCAATATCTATGAACAAACGGCATGGAACTGAATCAGGCTTGAGATTGGTTGTGGCAGCTCTGCGCTGCCCTCGCTCGTCACCTCCTGCCTACCAGGCCGGTCGCGACTGCATCGGTTCATTGTCGGTTCGGGTTGGTGATGATGACTTGCTTGAACCTCTAACAGGCTGTAGCACTGTAGGCGTTCACAGCATGAAGTTTTTCGCATGAGGGCAAAGACTTCTGTGGGTGCCTGTCTGGCTTCGGGCTTGTATTGGTGTGCTTGTCCTTGTGCCTGCAATTGTACGGGTCGGGAAGCAGCAAGCGCACGGGCGCGGAGTCCTTAACGAGTGTCTAAGATTGGCATCCCTGCTAAGTCCTTGTCCAAGCAGTCCAGAATTGGCAAAAACTCGAGTAGCCCGGGTGTGCAGCCCGGATGCAATGCGGAGGCACCGAAGTGGTGGCCACAGATTTGCCCGAGGCAGGCCCGTGGATTCAGCTATGCAGAGTTCGGGTCCGGAAAGGTGGCCGCAAGCTGAAAGTACCCGATTCATGGCAACTTGAGCCGCCTTAGCCTGCGAAACCAGATTGTTGCTGCAGGTTGTCGAGTTAGCTGTGCAGAACCGCAAGCACAACCAGCTGGTGCTGAGTGAATCAGGCCTGGAATTGAATGTGCTTCTCCCCTAAGATCTGGCAGTTGGCGCAACTCCGGAGACTCAAACTCGACAAACGGCAAACAGCTTGTGTCGAAGCCTCCGTATGCTTTTTCAGAGCAACACTCGGTAGGAAGAAAGCTGGATGCTAAGCCCCTTTAAGGTGCCTCCGACGTGCTTTTTCTCAGCCATGACTACAGCCAGGCACCCTGGGAGGGGGGCCATGCCACTTTACCTCCTACGCCGTCCGCCTTCAGGGCAAGCCTAAATGTAAGCTGGTGCTTTGGGATGGCTGCTGTCAATTAATGCTTTCTTACTGTTCCTATGAAGTGCATAATAGAGGGGGCGGAACCCGAGCGTTGGTTGCGCCTGTACAGGCAATCGATCCAGGTTGTCGGATTCGAGTATCCGCGGTTTTTCTCCTGACCCGTGCAGGCCGCATATGTGGAAGGAGCGCCCTTCGATGTCCTGCTCTTGGCAGACCTCCTCTACGATGGTGCCCTCCAGGTCCGTGGCCGCGGCCGCGTTACGAGATCTCGGGTTTGCCCTATTGCTCCTGCGGGATGTATTGGGGTTGTGTTCTTGTTTAGTGCTTTCAGGGCCCCCTGCAAAACCCAACTCAGCGCCACAATCGACCATCGCGTTGTGGTGCATGCGCTTACCCTCAGACCAGGACCTTGTGCAGGGGTAGGAAAGCTCGCGTGAGACGGCATCCCCAACCCAGGCCCCGAGAATGAAGCACTCAACCCCCGAACGGGGGCTTATCCAAGCCGTCATTCCCAAAGAGCATATTGCAAGTATTGAAACTCCCAATGCCGCACGACTCAGTCGGCCCATCGCATAGCAAGCCTTCCGGGCCTTCGCATCTCGAGCCCTAAACCTCAGGCTAGGCCATAGTGCCACCCGGGTTTGGCTAGCCAAGCCGGCTCGAAACAGGTTTTGCTTGGAAGTTAAACCCACCTGCGTTGCATTGAAACTCGGTGAGGAAGCCTTGCTCTCCAGTGTGGCAGCCTGCGTCTGGGAGCCCATGGGGCAGAAACACTTGCATGGATCGTGTCAGGGACGGGAAGACTTGCCGCTTTTGAGGGCGACAGGCAGCGAGGTGCTTGGTTCTGCCTTCCACCGGTCGATGAGATGACCTGCAGCCACTGCAACATGTATGGGCCCGCAGCAACATCAAAGCTCATGCTCATTGTGGGTGGCCGAGGTGCAGCCTGATGGGGGCGTTGCCTTCGTCGCATACAAGGCCGGAGAACAGCTTCGAGCTCATGGTGACAAATCGATTTGGGGTTACAGCTGCATAGCAGCACAAGGTGCACAGGACAGTAGCGCCCGCGTGGGTGAAAGTAAAGATCAGGGCTGTCAGAAGCCTTTGAGTTGTCGCTGGAATCAGGAACGAGATGCGGCCGTGGAGCCGGGAGCTCAAGTTAGCTGGCAACTCTCCGGCATCAAGCATCCTTGACTTGTCTTTCTGCCAGACGATTGTCTCTGCACTGTCACTTGTGCAATTGTCCCCCCAGCCTTCATGTGGTGGAAAATCCGCAAGCCTCTGTCGACACGCTTGACAGAATTGATGAGCAGCCAGATGAGAGACATTTTAAAGACTGTGCAGATATACCCATGACTTTCCTTGGATGCCGCATTTCAAGCGAGCTGCATCCTGGAGTGAGACCTTAGGTCGGCTTTCTTCACGAGCTTGAGCCGCCCTGGAGCCTCAGCCAGCTGCTCTGGGCGGAGGAAGACGACTTGAAAGTCCCCGTGCCTGCTGTGGTGGTCTGGGGGTGTTCTTGGCCTTTCTTTTTGCGAGTTCTCGGAGTTCCGATTGCGGGTAAGGCGGACGTCGCCGACGTGGAGTTGTGCGAAGGCGACACCGAGGAGATGCTTTGAAGGGGCTTGGCCCGGTGCTCACTTCGGAAGTCACATCCAGGATGGCGGTGAGACCAATTGTAGAGGCTGCATCTCCCGTGCATCGCAACCGCTCTGGTCAGGCTGCTAGGTATCTCGACTTTCCACCCTCCCACCTCCCATTCAGCTTGTAGGAGTGGGCGCATGCCGAGTGCCCTGCTATTTGTTGCTCTCATCTGCTTCTAATTCGCGGAGTCGCGGAGTTTTTTGCAGGACCTGGACGCAACCGGCCTACGGCTGAAGAAGGCGGGCCCGGCCGCTTCGCTTCAACCGGCTTTACGGGTGAGCAGCTGAATCGAGGAAATGCTAGGAATTCGGGTCCCGAGGGTTTGACTGCCAGGTCCAGTTCCGTCCGCCGAAGCAGGCCAGAGCATGCTTGTTCCGTGTTCGAAAAATCTGGTTGTCGTAATGCGGGCAGTTGCCCCACCAGATTGTTCAACCTGATCCTCGGGTGCTTGGGAATCCGGTGTACCTTCCGCGTCACGGTCCCTTATCGGCAAACGTCAACGAGCCTTAATCAAATAATTAGTTAATTAACTAGTTCATTAATTAACGAACTAAGTAGTCAATTAATTAATGACTTAACCAATTAATTAGTTAGTTCGGGAGGCAAAATTCGTTAGTTAGTTAGTTAGTTAGTTAGTTAGTTAGTTAGTTAGTTAGTTAATTGATTAATTAGTTAGTTGATTAATCGATTTATGTGCATATATATGTATATGTATATGTATATATATATATATGTATACATATATATATATAATGTGTGTGTGTGTGTTTGTGTGTGTGTGTCCACCTCGCCAAATTCGACCTTGCTTGAGCGACCCCCCTCAATGCAATGTGTGGAGGTCGTGGGCCAGATCGAACACACTTGCACTGGCCTTTACCTGTGATGGCAGATGTGCAGTGCAAAAAAGACCGTGAGAAGCCTGATTGGTGACGTGAGAGTTCTAGTCTAGTCATGTGCTGAAGAAGCCAGCTCAAGTCAATTCCGTGATGCAAAGCGGCCCACACCGCGCAAAGCTGCAAGCTCTACGCTCGCGCACGCTGTGGCTTGTCATGTTGGTCCTTGGCTCAGAGCGGGGGCAGTTCAAAGCCGGTGCGCGGCCGTCTGCCCTTGCCTCAGGCAGTTGATTCCGGGTGCGAGTTTTGTTTCGCAGCAGTCTAGTGTATCGGGGTTGAGTTGAAGTGTCCGGGTCATGGCTTATATAGTTGCAAGTGCGCACGAGTAAGTAGTAGGGGCCCAGGTCACTGAAGAGATAATCTCAGGATATTTGGCGCGGCAACCTTTTTTTGGCTTCAGAGTCTTTCCAGGACTACGGGCAGTGCACCCCGAGCAGCGGTAGCGAGATCTCCTGACAAGCAGGGGTGAGGCAACAATTCCTCGTGGATCATTGGTGTGTTGGCTGAACACTGTAGGTCACTGTAGGTATTTTCAATAGTTTTCAATATGCTGGAGCAGGGAGCACACCAGCCAGGCCCTGATGAGGCTGCTGACGCACAACCTGCTGCAATGCCGCTCGGTCTTGTTTCGGCACCACCGGGACGGGGCTTTGCCAGGCGACTGCATAATGAAAACTGGCATGACACTGTCAACGAAATGATTAGCCCGACATCAACAGCCAACAGCACTTCGACACCAAGTCATGCTGTTCGCAGTGCCGATGCCAGGCAATAAGAAAGGCGTCCAAAAGGGCTACCCGCTTATCATCCAAGCGACAGCCATGAAATACGAGGACGCGTTCCCGCACCATAGCTACTGGCTGGACGAACAAAAAGTGAGGAGATGTCCTAAGCCAATCGCCGAAGTTGCAAACACCACACCAGGAGAGTCCCTTTGACAAAGACTTCGTCAGCGCCATGATTCCAAAGCTCGAATATGACGCTTTGCTGAAGGCGTGCTGCTGCTTTCGATGGTCGCAGCACTTTGCACATGCTACTACTCAAGGTCGTGCTGTAATCAAACCAAGCCGGCATGTCCATCCTTGTATGACACTCTTTCGGCTGCCCCTTTCGCAGCTGTCGGGAAGCCTCTGCTCCAAGTCGCAGGCCTTGTCTGAAGTCCGAGCATGCCCGAACATCGCAGGAAGAGAGGCGCTGCGGCCTTGGCTTTTGCCATGGAATTGTGTCTCCTGTCTTTTAGGTCAGAAACTAACGGTTTCGAGCCTTTTGTGCTGCTTTTGTCCGAGATTCCGCCAAGGCTGGCAACCATGCCGGAGCTGCCCTCTTCGCTGCCATCGAATCATGCGTCTTCGACGAAAAAGGGGGGGAGTTTCGTTATTGCCGTAGCAGTACATCCTACCCTTGCCAGCTATGATGAAGTGAAACTCTGGAAGAGCATGCTGTTGGAGCGCCTCGGGCTTCCCATGGCTTTGACCAGTTTCGACTCGAGCATAAATTCCGAAAGCACCCTAAGTTAATCCGTTAAGGGTCCCGGACTTGTTTATTATCCCACTCAGGAGAGCAACGAAGACTTCTTGAAAACGTTGCATGCAAGTGGCTCAGAAAGGTCAGGCCAGGCACACAAAGAGTACTGCCGCGGTGGCGGGCAGCGAGGTAGTAGGCCGTGTGTCCTCCCGACCGACCATCTCCAGCCACACATTGCCTATACCAGTGCTGAGGTGGTTCTTTTCGATCTGCATTTGATAGAAGGCAAGCTGGTTTGCCTGAACCTCGGCCGCTCAAGCTTTCCGGAAAAACGACCGTAGCATCAAGGCATGTGTTTGGTAGGTATCCCTCGAAGATGCCTGAGAGACACTGGAAGCTCCGACGCAATGCCGCTGAGGCCCTGAGTCTGGCAGGGAGTTCCCAGTCAATGCTTGGGGCCCAAGACGGCAGAGAAACAGCTCTTGGGTAAGTTTGAGGGAGAGAGGCGGGACTCTTGGGATCCTCTGGGATCTTCGACGGCTTTCCTCTTGGGGCTCGTGAAAACACGTGTGTAAGCTTGCACTCCGGTTGGTGCTTGGGGTAATTGGTACCGCTCCATCCAAGACTCCAGCTGGCTCGTCCTGTGGTGTGTAGTCGCAGAGGGTAGGACTTGTCGTGGCTACACCCGAGGACAGCATTCCAAACATGCTGCTCAACGATGACGAGGTATAGCTGCGTGTTATGCACTGCGACGGCCCTGTCGCCATAAGCCGTGGGCAAAAATGAGTGTGCATGCTGCGTTAGCCAACATCATGCCTTCCCGGCACGCATCTTAAGCTCAGGTCTTGGATCTTCCCGGCTCGTTATACCAGTCCGGCTCAAGGTGCCGCAGTTTGAAGCGCTAAGTTCCACGCCGGCCCTCGGAAGCCAGAGCGGATCCCTCCGAAAGAAAGCCCTCCGAGATGTGAACTTCAGAATGTATGCGCACAGATTCGAAGGGTCCGCCTGGCAGACGGGAAATCTTTTGACGTGGCACGGCTCTGGAATCTCGCCTGGAACCATTCGATTTAATCTGTGAGCCCTGGGGGGTTTGAGGACTGCCTTTTCTTGCACGGGCGAGACTCCGGCTGACGTAGCCGGTCTCGGCGGGTGAGCGAATCAGATTCGCTGCTGGACCACTTTGCTCACCTTCCACTGCAAGCTGCCCTGTATTTGGGTGGAGTGTACCTTAGTCGCTGGCACACTGGAGGTCATGTCCTACTCATGGGTGGTGTCTCAATATCCTGTACATCTTCGGTACCACGTAGGGCATCAAGTTACGTCGTGCTGGTTTATCCAGAAGTAAGGGTTTTCTACAATAGTCATTATGTGGGGCAAGCTGTGCAGCTTTTCAGATTGGAACGTATGTTTAGTCTAGTGTCATCCAGCACCGCTCTGCTATGCCTAGAATTTGATCTACCCTTCCAGTCTTGTTCAACTACGTGTTCCAGTTTTTTGGTTAAATGTCCTGTTCGTGCGAACTCCATGTCCAGTATAGGGTATAAGTTGTATTCATTAGGTGTTAACTTGTGAATTATTTTCCATTGTGCTGGCTGTTCTGGGACAGTCATGCGGAGAGTTGCCTGCCACTGATCAGGCAAGCTCTCCCTCCGGACTCGCGAAGAAACCAAGCAGCTGAATATGAAGCGTGGCCCACGAGTCAATTCTTTCATCAACGTGTTTTTGAAATTGAGTCCAGAGACTGTCTCTGGCTGACCGTAGTCGTGGAGCTTGCCGTCGGGCCGTGTCCGCTGCTGCTGCGCAGGAACCAGACGGTTGAGACGTTCGCTTGAGGTTTCCATGAACATCAGGGAAGGTCATGTTTGTGGTTTGTCTAGATGCGTACAGCTTAAATGCGCAACTGCATGAGGCTTCGAGAGGCCACCTGCGCATTCGAGACCCTCTAGCTTGGAAACCCTTCTTTCGCAGTTCGTGGATCCTGCTCTTATCTGATCTGTGTGTGGATCGAATTAAGTTAAAATGCAATAGGTTCTCTCGTCCTTTCTGTCTCTTCTCGTTGCGACAGAATCCTATGACCCCAGCGCGTGGTGGCCTGAACACTGTGAACACGATTCAACTCTCCCCATGTGTCTGGTGGGGTGTCTAGCTGCAGTTCGAGATGGTAAGTATCAAGCGTAGCTGTTGGAGGTCTACGATTCTCAACAGCATAGGGGCCTCCCCTCACTTGGTACAGCACTTGCTGGCTGGCTCTCGACAGGACCTGATTGATCCAGCTTAAATGCGCCGGCAGAGGACGGCTTTCTTCTTGAGCGTCCGTAACTAAATCCCGAACTGAGTCTAGAGATTTGTGAGCGGTGAGAGGGTGGCTGAGTGAGTCGTGAAGCACGGAGGGAGTGACAGGATAAGTCCAGGTTCGGAAAGGGCCAGCATGCGGTGAATAGTGTTTCGTGTCGGGAGGGGTATACTTTCTGCATCTTTCTGCAGCCTCGGTCATTGCCTTCACATGGCAGCCTAAACGCAGAATGTTCGGTGGGGAACCGGAACGGTTGACTGCTGTTTCAGGACATCTTCCGCATCCGACAGCAAGTCCCAAGCAAAGGCATCAACCACTTTCGAGGACCGTGGACAGTACTTGTGCTGTGACGTGCCCTGTCTTGGCAATTGGACTTGCTGATGGTTCACTAATCCCGCTCTACCACGGACCATCTTTCCAGTCGATTGTCTAGTTGTCTTGAAGACCTGTGTGGAAAACGTTCTGCTTCCATAACTAGGCAAAGCCAGAACTACATGCAGAGCTCCAAGTTAAAACTCGGGATCCCACAGAAGACAGGCATCAAGAAGTTTAAGAATTAATAACTTTAGTAGAGGACGCACATCAGTGAATACTGTACGCGAGTGCACGAGAGCCTGCGTTTTGCCTCTTGGAAGGAGCCGGTGGTAGAGTCGGACCACGATGACAAGGTTGGGGCAGTGGATCTTGCGCCTCGAGCCCTAAAATGTAGTACAACATGTAATAATAGTACCGTTCTTGCCAACATAATGAGGCAGACGTTGGTGTAAGTGCCACGTAAGCAGCATAGGATGAGTAGCATGAGCTTACCTACGATATGTCTATTGCGTACTTGCTCATGTGTGGGCACAAGCGCACACACGCACCCCTTGAGATACATATGAAGTATTGAAATATACTGGATTGCAAATCTTAGCCGCGTGCGTGGATCTGTCTAGAGAAGCGTGCATCTCGCTCTCTCGCTCTCGCTCGCTCTCTCGCTCTCTCTCTCTCGCTCTCTCTCTCTCTCTCTCTCTCTCTCTCCTTCTATTTTTGGAGGTATGCTTCGCTCCAGTAGTTGAGAGAGGGTTGAATCATGTTGAACTAGCGGATGGGACGATCTTCGCAGGTGTCCTTCAAAGAGATCATGGAGAAAATCTCCGAGGCCCGGAGAATAGCGGCGATTCCCGAGAGCAGGCGCTGGTAGGACAAGTTTACTCGAAGAGCCCCTCGGGCACCGAGGGAATTTCCAACCGAACATAGAGGTTTTTGGTCACACTATTGCGCGTCCCTCATTCCCTAATTAGATATTTGATCGGGGTTGTTACCAGGTACTTCGACGGGTTGTTGGACCGGAGCTTCAGGGAACCGGTTTTCAATGTTCAGATGAAGGCGGAACTTCATTTCTGAAGATGGGATGGCCTTGACTGGTACTTCCTAGGTGCTTTACATGCCCATCTCCATGAAGCCATGCAAGATATTGGAATTGGGGTTGGACGTTTTTACGAGCACCAGTGTGCAGAGCTTGAAAGAGGCGACCTCTCGAAGACCAAGTGAGGGACCCAGCCACCGCCAGTCTGGTGAAGCCCGAAGTGTCTCAAGTCTCAAACGACATGGGATTGCCGGTGTCAGTTTCAGGATATCACTTGCAACAGCTGCATGGTTCATTGTCGGTTTATTCGGGTCCAGTACGTTTCGCAGTGAGGTTGTGACAGCAAGCAGGGTTCCTCACGTTCGAGAGTTCCTCAGGCTTGGCCGCCCGTTTACTGGCGCAATGCGCCTCTATGAATCTATACTATTACATCTCAACAGAGTTCAGAAGGCAGCTGTGTTCACCGCGTCGGCATTTTTGATGAAGATCTCTTCCACGGAGGCTGCTTCTACTGTAGCACGGCCAGCGGGGGAGGGCAACCATGGTTGCAGACATCGAGCAGTAACACGCGCTTGTTGCAAGTTGACTTACCAGGACCTTTGACTCACTGTTTCGCACGCGCCTCCGGATGTCTGGGCGCTGAGGTCAGTATACGGCAAAGGCCAGAGGCTCATTTTCTGTCGCTGTGGCGGGAACTCTCCGTGGAGTCGAACGCCGGCCAGGATGTAACCAAAATGTAGAATGTAGAGACATTCACTCCAGCCCGCTGCACATCCTGGGACGGATCAAATTCTTCGACAGTCTTCATGGTAGAGTTTTCAGGCTCAGGCTTTGTGATTCGGCGCTTGGAGTTTGAGGCGGCGCGCACACTGTCAAGAACATGCAAGAACGATACATAAGCTGGCACGCATCTCGCTTTCGTGGCCTGTAGATGTCAAGCCGAAGAAACTGCTTCTTAAGTAGAGACTTGAAGTATAAGTGCAGGCCTACAGCCACAAAACTCACCGTATCAGGTCCTCCCGGGCGTGTTGCCGTTTGGCGCCTGGGACACGGACCGAGAGACATTTTGTTGTTTTCGCGACAGCTTGGGGTGTCAGCGGCCTTATGCAGGGTGTAACATTGTAGAGTCGCGATATAACGAGGGCTTGTGGAGGTTCTGGCTGACTTTGGGGGCCCTCCGTCCAGTGACGCCGCCTTGTGCTCGTGTAGCGAGTCTAGCTTAGCTTCTATCCGCAGTGCACATTGTCGACTAATTTCGGTCTTTCCAGTCCCGCACCTACCGCAAAAGCCGGAACACAGGATTCAGTGGAAAATGCTGCGCTACGTTGGGTTTTTGTGGATTTTCGCGCATCACGCTCTCGCCGGCCACACTATTCGGCTTCTCGGGTCTCGCAATGGTCTCGAGATCCGAAGAAAGTTCGGCCAAGTTGGAGATCGTGCTCGCACGACAGCTGCTTGCGTTTTTGGAGTTCGACGCGATTTCCACCTCCAAGAATCGCTTTTCGGACCCATGGGGTGGTAAGCCAGTTTTTCCGTCGATGCAATTTCAACTGCAACACCCCACGACCTCTGACAGCCATCGCTTCATCCAAAAGGAAACTCTCAACCGTAGTATGGGAGATTTCGTGGCAAAATGTTCTGTTCACAGGTGGCTGGAAGGCATGAATGAACGGTCTGGCGTGGGACTTCGATGGGAGCATGCTTTGGTTAATCAGCTTGCTGCTGATGGTAGAGGAGAAGACTGTGTTGGGCTGATGATCATATCGGCTAAACTCCCCAACTATGCTGATGTTGCAAGTCATCGCACGCTTGCCTCCTAGCTTGCGCATGCACCCGAGAATTTTCGTGTGATCACAGTCTATTGTTCGGTCAGCCATCGCATCTGCAGGACAGTGGAGAAGACGAAGATAAGCTGCCTCGACGTCAAACGTCGTCGTGGCCCTGGTGCCCACGTCCAAATCCTGGGCGTCATTACAGCTCTCAGCCAGATGCCGTGCTTTAACGGAGTGAGCAGCAGGCTGCATGCTGTTGGACTTCTCAGCTTCTTGCAAAGGACATGCCAGTTCGACCTGAGGGTGTGGAGACTTGGTTTAGATACATCAGCCAAAAACCCTCAGGTCGGCTGCTTCTCCTGAGGAGGAGGCCGCAAGCCTTTCAAAATCAACGAGGTCGGAGTTTTGGCCTGGCTGTTGCGGCTTCTGTGCTTCCATGCGCTGCGTTGGATAGTTCCAGCTTATGCAACAGAGCTCTTGTCCGTGGTCGTGGCCAGTCTCGGGTTGGTGGTTTCAATGTGTTGCGGTTTTCGGAGGTCTCCTGCTAAGGCCTCGAGGCGTGTAATCAGTGTAGGCATGCCCAATCGAAGAATAAAGGTTCTTCTGCATCTCGCGTCTTGGTCCTCCTCCCTGACTGCAAATGGCCCGGATTGCAGAAGCATCAAAGGCAAGTCGCAGGAACAAACAGCTGAATAAAAAAGAGTCGCAGTTCTGTGGTTGTGAGCATGGAGCTTCCGATGTGTAGAAAAGCTTGACATGTAAATGTAGGCCGGCTTTGAACAACTGTTGCCGCGAAGTACATGCCGAGTTTCGCGCAGTGCCACCGGGTTGATCCAGGCCGATCGCCCCACAGCCGGTGCAGCCGCCGAATCCGTCGGATCTGCATTGGGCCACTTGGTCCAAGGCCGCCTTTGTCTGGTACCTATGCTCGGCTCAAGAGAGGCTTCAGCATGTTCAGTGTCCCTAGTCGGTCTCTCGGTGTGTATATCCTGGGCTTCATCAATACTATAGGTCACACAGTCGCTACCCCAGGATATTTCACAGGCCCGTGTAAATCCGGGTCCAGTCTTTGCCCTCGGGTGCTGTCCAGTGCGACAACGGCACGCATACTTCTACGAAGTCGTGCGCTCCCAGCTATGTCGAGTGCTCCTGCTCAGGCTTCTTGAAAGCATCTGCATGCAGCGCTGGGTACTGCCAGCCACACCATCCCTCACACGGTGGCAGCCAAGATAGACTCTGCTTGGGAGTTGAACGGCACTGGTACTGCGAATAATTTTCACCATCCCTCTTGTTCGAAGATTGAAGCGCAAATGCACAATCTCGAGGGGCTCGAGGTCCTTTTCCGACCCGAGAGGCCGACCCCGGCCTGAAGACCCCAAGTCTGTTCCTCCGGCCTGTCGCTTTCGGAGTCCTTTGCTTGACCAGAGAACATCCCAAGTTCTTCCCAAAACATAATAATTATAGTGCCAATGCCTGTCAGGCCTGCAGGCCCTTCACGCCGAGCACAGAAGTTGGGCGCGGGCCTTACGGTCTGCTCCGAGTCGCCCTTTCTGGGGTTCTGCTTCTTCTGGTTTTTCTTTTGCTAGAGCAACGAAGCCCAGGTTTTACCATCGAGCATGCTGAGCCGCGCATGGCTAGAAATCCGTGAGTAGAGCCGCAAGCCTGTGGCCGACAGGACCTTGAAGCCCAAGCAGCTGAATCTCTGGGAGGCCTGTTCGTGGCTCCTGACTAGCTGAGCGTATGGGCTGGAGAAGGTGTTCTGGATTCTGGAGGGCTCTTGCCCATGATACGGGGCTTTCGAAAGACCAGGGAGCAAGATGAGAGAAGACCCCTCTCAGGAGGAGCGAGTGTTTTCTCCTTCGCGGACGCGCCGCTCCTAGCTGCCTGGATATGCGTGCCAAACTGATATGCTGTGTACTCTGGGGGCCCATCCGAAGAATCGGTGACGAAAAAGCCACAGTCTTCTGGCTCTCGACTCTGTAGACTCACATAGACTCATCTTGTAAGCAACCAGGGGGACGAAAGTTTTCAGAGATGCGACTACAGGATTCAAATCCAGTCCCTGCAAGACGTCGAGTTCTGGGCCGCTGAGGTGGCCAGCTGGGCCGCTCCGCTGCGCGGCGCGTGAGTTTTACGACGACCAGCGCCGTGCGGGGTCCTTGGACCGTGGGCTTGTCGTGCAGGTCTTTATATGAGTTAGCTGGCCCGAACATGAGAAAGAAGAGCAAGTGCTTCTTCACCTTTCAACGGAATTTGCGAGACTCTGGGTATAGAGTTGAAGCCGATTAATTGATGTTTTCCCAATGCAGACATTGCTCCTTGAGCGTGGAGCAACTGGGGTGTCATTGCTTCGGCTGCTGATCCCTGAAATCCTTCCTGCGTGTTCCAGTCTTTCCGAAAGCAACTCTGGCTAGCACAGTCCAAGCCGACATCAACAAAGCAGCAAAACTGCCGCAGGCAACCTAAACCGAGTGTTGAACCAAAGAAAGGCATCCTACCAAGCCTTGCAAGCTGCTCCCTTTCGGGGCAGGTCTCTGAGCATAGCAAGGAGCCCTCAGCCGTCTAACCCTCGACCCATGCCTGCCTTGTGCGAGTGTGCGAGTCGAACCCTCGACCCAGGGACTTCCAGCCTGGCAAGCCGTCAGCTGGAAGCACACGGGACCGCCGGGGCCTTCCAGTCTCTGCAAAGCTCGTTTTGGTCGTGTTGGCGCCTTTCTTTGAAGGTCCTTTCCTGTTCCTCCACGGCTGCGACGGCCAGGTTTCCTCCGGCGGGTCTCGTGCTTTTCAGTGCCAGGACGTCTGCTGCACAGAAGGAAGAAGGATTTAGGTCATATAGGGTAGTGCACGGGTCCAAGGTTTCCAGTTGGGGAGGGCATCCCCAAGTCGTTCTGGCAATGCAGTACCTGGGCCAGGTTCCGCGAATGCACGTGGGTCTGTGGCACTCTCAGGAATGTGCTTGTTACATCTTGTTGCTTTGGGCTGCTGGGAGTTTGTAGCGACATGTGCAACCTACAGCTCACCCAATACATCGGATTAGTTGTCACACCGTTTTGACAGCACATGATAGAAGGCACTCACACTGGAAAATTGATTCTTGCAAGGTGCGCAAGCCCGCTCATGACAACCGCGGTAGGGTGAGGGCCTCGACAAGCTGTGCATAAATTCTGTTGCTGAAGATCGGGAGCAGTGTTGTCATGTGTTCCCTGGAATTGTGATCGCCGTTGCGCGAGCATGAGTTGTTGGCTTTCGCGGTTTTTGGCACTTGTTGGTCCGAACTGCTCGAGCGACCTCAGCCTCAATAAGGGCTTGCTGCAGCGGCTGCATCATACCTAGTCTGCGCCATCTACTATCATAGTGCTTCCGTCAGTTTCTAGTTACGAGCGATTTTCGTCAGGCCCTGGTCAACAGGAGCTGCAGGGCCAACTTTAAGAAGCCTAGCCACCGACTGCAACTTCTGCATCGCTTGAGTCCCCATGGCCACGAGCACAGTGCGTACTGATCTTACAGAGGCGCATTTCAGAGGCCAGGAATCCTTGGTCTCGAGGGCTGCTACATCCATGTACATGCAAACTATAGCATTCGTTCTCCCTGTAAGTGCTTGTACTGCTTTGTCATGCAGTCTCGTTTCCGCTTCAGCAACGAGGTCAGCGCCGTCGCAACACTAACTAGCCATTTACCTATAGTCACTGTTGGGATGTTACGTGTTGATAGTTGCGAAGCCATTGTACTGCTGCTGACGATATGCGACATGTGGACGAGGGTCTTAGGGGCCAAATGTTTGTTTGAATTGACAGAGCCTGTGTCGGTTAGTCGCTTCGAAACAAGAACGGCAGAAGCACGCTGCCTCAACCATGGGCAAGTGTGGGCATTCAACTGATAGGATTGTTTGTGGGACCAGCTTGTCGGAGTCATAAAATGTCATAAAATTTAAACTAAGTCTTGCAAACTCTGGAAATCGGCGCGACTGCAACAGCTCCATGTAAGTCATGCTCGCTATTGCGATCAATTGAAAAGTGCGAAGACCATCGTAAGTTGTGTAGAGATGTAAGACACCAAAACATATGGAAGCATGTCTACAAATTTCCTCAGCACTTTTTGCGCCGGACAGTCTATAGTTGTGTGCGCTGGCTCCACATTTCCAGGCACAAAACTCTCGCACATTCACAGCAACTGAACAATGCTTTGGCGGCCAAACTAGACCAGAGCTGTACGCTTTAGATGGCGACGTGTGACAGTGCATGGGAACCCCGCCTCCAAGCCGGTCCAAAACAGCTTGAGCACATCGTGAGCTGCCATCTCATCATTTAATTTAGCTCAGCGCAGGACGGTGAGATTATAGCCGGCCCCGCCGAACTCAAGTTCGGTGGCCAGGATTCCGTCGCTGCTAATTCGTCATTTAGGGGTCGAGCCCTTTCCCTTCATTTTGTGGTGCTGTTGCTGCTTGGAAAATGGCAGACTTGATTCTACGGGGAAGAAAAACTGGGGAAGTAGTAAGTGAGTGCCACAGCGCCATTGTCGGACAGGCTACGTGCGGAAGGATGAGGCGTGGCCAGAAGATTCTCCAGAATACAAAGCTGGTAACGAGATCGAGAAGCTCGGCATGCACAAGTGTGATGTTAGCAAATCGGGTATTGTACCTGCGGAGCCAATAAGGATGAGGGGCAAGGCTGCCGTGTGGTGCCTTTGAGGCTTCACAGTAGGGTTCAAAGTTAAGAATCCGTTGTGCCCGATGGAATATTATAGCATGGGCGGAGCGGGGCGGGTTGGGGCAGGGCTTACAAAAGCGCTTGGGAGCCTCCTTCCTCCAAAGGACGCCCTAATACATATATATACATATATACACACACA